TCACTACGTGCATACTGGCATAAAGATGATGGAGAGAAGAACAAAGCCAGTACCCCCCATTCACACATGATTTAGCCTGGCGTGTTATGAATCTGTTACAAATCCTTTCATAGTGTGCTCAAGAAGAATAGCCTCACGTGATAATGTGCGGAAAGGCTATCGCTCTGCAGCAGCTGTACAGCTTCAGTGTGGGAGTGAGTCCCCTATGACAAGGCTTCCACAAGCTGAGTTCATTGACATGGACGCTAAGGGGACAGCCATGGAATCAGAGCTGTATAGCTGCTGCTTCCCTCGCCTCCCTGTGCACAGATTTAAGCACATGCAGGGGGCTTTCATCTATAAGATTGAGACAATACAAGAGAAGCTTTACAGAGCATCCAATAAAGGGCAAATAAATGTGACCACAAACATGCACAGAGAGAGACGAAATCAAAGACCTGCTGGAGCAAATGATTGCTTCAGCTGGTAAATAGTTGTAACCATTAGGGAAGATGAGTGTTTTTGCCAACATAAATAAATACAAAGTATGTAAATTTCTTGTTTTATTCTAAAGGATAAAACAGGATCAAATGCAAAGTTTCTGCACAAACTATTTTGTATATACTAACATATGGAATTCATATTCCCATGCATTTTTTGATAATATAATATACTAACCTACTACCATATCATGGGATTTCATTTCAATACAGTCTGTTTACGTTAATTAGAAATATATATTAAGTTTTTCTGTATTTAAATTTTCATTTTTGTTTTTTTTATTATAGTAAATGATTCAGAGCTTTCTCATGTAAATGCAATTGATGGAGCTATGTTAAGCTAAACCGTGTATAGGTTTTATTTTTCAAATGTGGTTGTTTCATTTTTGATGAATTAAATGCACACACTTTACTGAATCTGTTCACTGGATAATTAAATTAAAAATATATACGTATATTACCACAAATACCTGAAAAATCAGAAGTCATAAAAGTTGGAGATTTGTAATGTGTGTAATTCTCACTGTAGTTTAAAATAAAAAATGAAAATGTTGCTTTGACACGGCCTATCCTCATCAGAAAAACAAGACGCACATTGTTAGATTGCTTGATTAAAGTTTTGTTTGTGTGTAAATGGCCTGTATTTATATAGCGCTTTACTAGTCCCTAAGGACCCCAAAGCGCTTTACATATCCAGTCATCCACCCATTCACACACACATTCACACACTGGTGATGGCAAGCGACATGTGTATGTGTGTGTGTCCCTTATTAACATAATTACAGTGAATTAATATATATTTAACCTAAATTATGATTTCCAGTAGTGGTCCAACACAGAGGAAGTCCCGTGTTTAACTTGTGCCACTGTCACATCTTCTTCCATTCAAAGTGGACAAAAACTTATATCTGTCATTTCAGGAGTCGCTGTTAATCAACCTTTTGTGCAGTTTATGAATGAAGGCATTTTTTTTTTCATCTTTTTCACATCTATGTAAAAATTTAATTTGGAAGATATCTGCAGTGACAGCTCATTAACATCTAAGGTCTCCAGCATCTCAGGGTAAATCTTTGTGTCTCTGGCACAATGCCACTTTAGATATTTTAATTACCTCAGTGTCATCTTTCAGCAAAATGTGAAACCAATTCCCCTCGAGCCATGATCCCAATAGTGTGTTTACTAGAATCATAAATAAAATATAGTTTTATTACTTAAAGATAGTCCCCTCATGATGTAGTCCAGCCTTGTCTGCCGTGTTGCCATTACTGGATCACAATTGCTCGACTTGTGTTCCACGTTTATGTGCATGTGTTTGATTTTATTTTGAAAAGGAAAATATAAAATAGATATTTTATTTCTGTTCTGTTCATGCTTAGATGATATTTAGATGCTTAGATCCAAGCAACTGATAATGAATATTTTATAATTGTTATGCAAAAATCTCAAGACTGTCTAAAGACTGTGTGTTTAACAGAAATGTTCATGTAAAGGTAAACCTCTAATTGAAGACTGGTCCATGTAATGTGTGAATGTGACCATAACACTGATATTCTACATTATCCCTGTGATGACCTGGCAATGGGCTACACACTGCCACTCACCTAATGCTGGTTTAGGCTCCATCCCTCACTGAACCACTTTGAGGTAACATGAGTATGAAGTTAAAAAAACAAACAAAAACAAAACAGCTTCTAATATTACCAAGATTTATGACATTAAATTCTCATTCAAGTCAAATTGTACATAAAGACAGTCTAAACTATTAACACACATAGTCTTTTTTGTAATAGCCAAATAACTGGTCACTGTGCAGACTGGAAAAACCCAAAGTAAACTTGTGAATTTGGACATTTCACAACAACAGTAGCAGTGAAATTATCCAGTGGATGTTCCCTGTAGGTGCTTATAAAACTTGGTCAGTAATGGGGAGGAATACTTTGTCCCAGACATAGTGTTGAACATTCAGGCAGCAAACTTTCAAAAAGTGCCCTCATTTTTAATTGGGTGGCAGTAGCCTCCTTCCTGAAGTCCTTTCATTAACAATATTCACTTTTTTTTCATTATTATTTTAAATGTTTCTTTGACAGTTTTTCAGATCTGCTTCCTTTTAACACCCACTGTGTTCTTTTTAAACTCATATCATGTTCATTATCACCACACCCAGTCCTTTATCAAGTGGAATGCAGATACCCTGGAGACAGAGCTTTGCAAAATCACAGAGCCCCAGGCAGTAACGCTGATGTGACAAGTTTATGTCAAAGGCAAACTTCTTTTTTCATAAATAATTTTAGCCAGAATTTGACATGTAGAATAGAATAGCCCTTTATTGTCATTGTACATGTATAGCAAAATTGTGGGTGCTGCACACCAACTGTGCTGGAATAAAATATTAATAGTAGGTGGCAGGAATAAATAGCAAACAAGAGAAATGCATACAAACAAGAGGGATATATGAAAACATAAGAGAAAGGCACACATTATAAGTGCTTGGAAGCAGTGGAAAGAAAAGGTTTGGTCTGAATAGTCCATATGAGTGATAGGAGTTACTCAGACCATGGCTCAGACTGGTGAGGTGGGTTGGCACTCATGGGGTGTGGGGGGATAGTGTTTGTTAACAGTCCGAATGGCCCAGGGGAAGAAGCTGTTAGTGAGTCTGAAGGTGTTGGACCTGATTGATCCGAGGCACCGACCAGAGGGCAGCGGGTCAAACAGGTGGTGGGTGGGGTGCAAGGGGTCACCTATTATGGCCCTGGATTTCCTGAAACAGGAGGATCTGGCGATAGCCTCCAGGGGTGGCAGAGGGCACCCAATGATTTGGGGGGCGGTGTTAATTACCCTTTCTGTAGCCTTCCTGTTCTCAGTAGTGGCCCCTGTGTACCAATCACCCAGGCAGTAGGAGAGCATGCTCTCCACTGAGTAGAAGGCCAGCAGCAGCTTCTGGTCCACGTTATTCTTCCTCAGGACAGCCGCTTCTTTACCAGGGGATTGGTGTTGTAAGTCCAAGTGGGATCATCAGAAATGTGGGTGCCCAGAAACCTGAAGGTGGAAAGAGATTCCACCTGTTTTCCATTTATAAAGAGAGAAGAGTGGACCTGTCTGTGCCTCCTGGAGTACATGATGAGTTTGTTTGTTTTCAGGACGTTCAGCTTCAGGTTATTTTCTTAGCACCAGCAGGAAAAGTTCTCAGCTCAACAAAGCTCAACAAATCAACAATAAGTGAACTAAACAAACCTGAGGAGTTCCATAAAGCTCAAGAACAAAAGACAAGGTTCAAATATGTAATTCCATGCTAATCAAATATTTGCATTTATTAGACCCTGAAAATGGAATAAATCCATGAAGATCCTCAGACACAATGCCTGTTTTTCAGCAGCTTTATTGACAAAGGTTATGTTTAGAAATATTTACACACATACAAAAGTTCTCTCACTTTGGAACATTTTAACAGTGTTGCACATTTAATTCTGAAGCTCCAGGACAATAGTAATCTTTTTTTTCTTTCCTTTAACTTTCTCTGTCGGAAATAAGTAAACATCATACAGGGGTGTCATGTACCCTTTTTTACTTTTATTTAGGTGAAATCAAATATAGCAAGTAAAAACGTATGAAAATGGTCTATAAATGAAGATAAGATCATGAAACTTAAATATAATGTCAACTTATTCTTTCTATTTTCCCCCCTTTTTCTTAAAAAAGTTATTATAAACAAACTAAAAACACATCAATTACATAGAAAAATAGTAAAAGATAATAAGCACCATTCAGGCACACACACATTGGAAACCTTGCACCCTTTATATGTGTCTGAACACAAAACAATCAAAAAGCACAGAGTATGTTTTGTACATATTATTGCCTATGACATTCTGTGCTACGACCCAGTGGAGGACTTGGCTTAGTTAGCTGTTTAACAAACTTGCTAGCGGTCACAAAAACCTAAATAAAAGTTTTCAAAACATTCCTCATATTCAGCCAGTATGTTTCCAATAGTTTAAGAACATAAATACTCATTTCATTCCTGAAATAGGGGATAATTTATTAAAGATGCACCAACACCATGATGATCTTTCAGCAGCTGCTTTGAGAATGAGGCATCTTGGCCAGAGCTCCCCCTTCTGGCAGCTACAGGCATAACAAGTCAATCACACGCATCATTTTTTTCAGAAAAGCTTTGATAGGTAGTATTTCTTTATTTGGTAATAAAGTGATTCGCCCTTTTAATTGGTTTAACATTGTTTGCATTACACCAGTTTACAAAAAATCGACTGAATTCCAACACCACAGTTTCATTGTGTACCTAACTCTGACTCATGATGAATATCATGATAAAACCAGTCTATTACATATGTAATTTAAATGACATGGCTGATAGAATCATAATGAACTTGCTACCAATTTGGCGGCGTGAAAGGCGATTGTGTGTGTTGCGTCTATAAGGTTGGGTGTGTGCATGTGTGTGTTAGGGAGAGAGAGAGAGAGAGCGAAAGAGAGAGGCAGGTGGAAAGGGGAGGGGTTTGGGGTGGTCCAGACAGTCGGTCCTTGTGTACCTCACACACTCAGCCTCTGCGCATCATTTAAGGAGAGCCCGGTTGTCTTCACCGCCTGGCTTCTTAGAAACACCACAGCCGCCTTAGCGTTAATCCAGCACTTTTCCCTCCCAGTTTGTTCTTGTTTATCTGAAGCCAGTCGTTCAACTTAAAAGCGACTCTCCAGCGTTGGATGGAATATAAGCTTGTGAGTGGCGCATTTATGCTCCCCTGACCGAGAAGAAGCGCACAGTGGAAAACGTTTTGAGGACTAATGGAAACCAGCCGGGATTCATTGGCACACAGAACATCATGAGAATACTACAACTACCAACAAGGTATAAGGAAACAAGTGTGGACGCACTCCATAATATTACTTTATCTCGCTAAAATCTGAACATTAACACGACATTTCTTTTACACCTATGGTTATTTTTGAACACTTGGGGCTGGGTGGGATGGCTGTTTTGTTCTATATTGTCCTTATCGCGCAGCGTTGGTAAGGATGTCTGCATCGCAGAAAATCTCAGTAAGCCAAACCTGTTCCCGCTGCAGTGTACTGGGCCCTTTTTTTAATTTAAAATGTCTATGATAAGAAAGCGCCGGTGCTCTCTGCAAGCATGAGTCGTGTCATGTTGAAATCGGTGGTCAGAGAAAGCAGTTTTTACAGTTAAGAGTATAACAGTAAGCTGTCATTATTTCCAGCTCTAGTGTGTCAGTGCATTGGAATAACATACGTCTTATTTTTCATTTAATGGGGGGTGGGGGGGAGTGATTTTAATTTGACTTGCTATTTTAATGTCCTTCCTCCACATCCTGCTTCTGAGGCAAGACTCTCATGCATGCATGGCTTCTGAAGTGGTGATGGTTAGTCTTTATTTTTGTTTAAGTTCCCCGTGCCAATGCACAAGTCCATCACAATGTATCTTATAAGGTAAAACCTTAATGTGACTGATTCTTATATAATACATTCAGTATTACTTTCAGTTCTATCACCAGTTCCCCTTGACATGACATTGGCAGTAAATCTTGAAAGTATTGTTTACATGTCTGTGTTGGCTATATAAGACTGTTTTGTCTTTTCCAGCAAGGGCAATGCTTAGATTCTCCAATCAGACCAAACAAGGTCCGGGAATTAGATGCAGATATGATAGAACAGACACAGAGATTAGGGAGGATGCATGGGAAGTGCTGCAGTACTTGGTGAAGTGAGTTGTGTGCCTTATTATAAGACTATAACTTTTATAAACCAATAACAACAAATACACAACTCGAACAAGCTGTTTTTTTAATGTTATTTAAACAAAGAGAAGATTTTTTCTCATCATATATAAATACTGTAGTCTGGGCTTTCAGACTGCTTTGTGTGTTTTGGGAACAGATAGAACTGGAATGAAAATAATGAGTTCAGACCTTTTAAAAAAAACTTTTCATTTTCAAAAATTAAACTGCAGCAAGAAAGAGGAGGCAAACGGAAGGATTAGGAATGAGTCATCGTTGGGTCAAATAAGCACATCGCAAGCAGTATTTTCTTTGTGGTTCTAGGACCAAAAGGTTACAGTTTCCTTAATTATGCTACATATGCAAAAAGAAAAAGGGTTGGATTAAATTTGATAATTCATGTTGAAGCTCTAAACAACAGCCCTAAAAGAAATTCTGTCTGAGCCATAATCATAAGATTTAATAGCGAAATCAACTGGAGTGCAGGTTGTACTGCTGTTAATTGTGATATTCAAATTAGATTTCATTGTAATATACTTCATTACATTACCATCTTATACATCTATAGACAGCACGCTGTAAATCTGTATGTTTAAGTGATCTGCCATGTAGTATTGTGTTTGATTAAAAAGGAGACAGACGAACATCAGAGGGCTTTTGCACATTTACAATGTCATACAGAAAATCCTTTCTAGAATAAAAAGATTCTTTGTTCACAGGGAGGACCTGGCATGGACCGCTGTGTCTAAATGAAGTGGTTCAGCCATGCAATGTTCCTGGAAGGCAGTGATTCTGCTGGCCTTGGCCTCCATTGCCATCCAGTACACGGCCATCCGAACACTCACCTCCAAGCCTTTTCAGCTGTGCCCGTTGCCCAGCCCCCAAAACTGTGGCCTGGGGGGCCAGGAGACCGAACCTCCCTTTGAGCGGGGGACAGCAGGTGGTGGAGGCTGTGATGACTACCCTTACTTTTCCATCAATGCCACACGAAAAACGCACATATTGGTCCTGGCCACCACGCGTAGCGGATCCTCCTTCGTTGGCCAGCTGCTCAACCAGCACCAAGAGGTTTTCTATCTGTTTGAACCTCTTTATCACGTTCAGACCACGCTGATTCCACGTCTATCACATAGCCGCAATGCTGCCGATCGCCGTGTGATGTTGGGGGCCAGTCGAGACCTTCTGCGTAGCCTGTACGGTTGTGACCTGTATTTCTTAGAGAGCTATATCAAGCCAGCACCTACGAACCACACCACAGACAAACTGTTCCGTCGTGGTGCCAGCCGCGCATTGTGCCAGCAACCTGTATGTGATGCCTTTGGGCCTGCTGATGTTAATGTGGAGGAAGGGGACTGTGTTAAGAAATGTGCAACCCTCAATATGACCTTAGCCACAGAGGCCTGCCGCGAGAAGCGGCATGTCGCAATCAAAATTGTTCGAGTGCCGGAGATTGGAGATCTGCGTGCTTTGGTTGAAGATCCACGTCTGAATATCAAAGTGATTCAGCTCGTCAGAGACCCACGCGGTATCCTGTCATCACGGATTGAGACATTTAGGGATACATATCGTCTGTGGCGTATTTGGCGGGCCACAGGGAGAAGGCCCTATAATCTTGACTTGAGTCAGCTCACGGTTGTCTGTCAAGACTTTCTCAGCTCTGTTTCAACTGGTCTCACCCATCCTTACTGGCTGAAAGGGAAATACATGTTGGTTCGATATGAGGATTTAGCGAAAAATCCTCTTCTTAAGACAAAGGAGATCTATGACTTTCTGGGGCTGCCTATGGATAAAAATGTGGAAGACTGGATACATGCAAACACTCGGGGCAGCAATGAGCCTTCAGCAAAACACAAGTTTGGTACGGTGAGGGACTCAGCAGCTAATGCAGAGAGCTGGCGCTTAAAACTATCTTTTGATATGGTGGAATACACACAGACTGTGTGTCAAAAAGTACTTCACCAGCTTGGATACAAGGCTGTGAAATCAGTGGAGGAACTGAAAAATATGTCCCTCTCACTAGTACAGGACAAAACTTTTGTACCATTTTTGTAACAAAGATAGTTCTCTAATGACTATTTTTGATATATTTATAATTGTTGCCTTATAAGGTCCTTTGTTTGTTTGATTTCTGTATTTTTGTTTCCTCAAATTTGCACTAAACTTTAAAGATTTTGAATGCACCAAGGGAATTATGGAGTACTCCCCAATGTTACAAACAGCACATTTTAAATACAAAGTAATCAAACAGGCTAGTTTACAAATGTCCCATGATTTAGTTTTGTCCATCAGTAGAATCCAGACGGTACCGTCTTCATCAGCTGTCTGTATGCAAGTTGATGTTGTTTTGAGAAAAGTAAGATGTTCCTCGGCAAAAAAAGAGAGCAAGAGACATTTTTTAGCCCTGTGATGGCAAAAGATTGACTGTACAAATCCTACTGTGCAATAAATGGTGAATGTCGCAGTCAACCTTTACCACTATGGCATTTCTATCCATGAGGGAAGAGAAGAGATACTTCTGACAGATGCCACGCTTTCAAAGGATAATTGCAGACAATTAATAGGCTCTCAAGTTAAAGGGACCAGAATCCCATTGGAGGTCACGAGCGTTTCATCAGAGGATTTACAACCATCTGCGATACACAAACACACACAAATAAAAGGTAATGCTGAAATCTTCATTACTGTAAGAGAATATGTGCTAATTCTCAAGAACATTAAAAAAACGCAGACTCTATGTAGAGACTGGAGCATTCTTATGAAGAACCATTGTTTTCCCCATTTTTATTTATCAATTTATTTATGTTTTAATATGTCGAGTCAATTGAATCTGAATTATTTGCAGTGTGAAATTTTACACAGCCTGTTCTGTCTTTAATTAAATTGTTTATGGCACTGTTCTCCATTGGTAGCGTTAAATCATCATTTAAAACATACACACTTGTTTTGATGGCACCTGATAAGTAGGACTTTATAAAAACAGAAAACATTGCTTGGGCAGGAACAGCTCCTGGATTCTTTCTCAATAAAACGAAAGCACGGCTCCTTAGACAGTCCATGATGCTCCTATGTTTATTTACAGATATGACTTTCATAACTGAGGAAGATATGTTTGTGCCTTTCCAATTTTACCAGGATGCGTGGGCAGTTTATGGCGTACAGCCACATTAACAAAGTCTGCATTTGATGGCGTACAAAGAATAAATGCTGTCCATAATTCCGGACGAATTGTTTGATCATTAAAGAAGCAGCGAATGTGCTGTTTCCATCAAGTTGTCTTAAGGGGAGAAGGTCAAATAAGAAGTACAGTACACCACAGGCATATAAATTCATGTGGCATTACTTTTCCCTCCACCTTGCAATCAGCTTAAAGAGGAAGTTTTTGTGATTTTATATATTTATGGAGAGCAAAAACTGATGATATTTGGTTGTAATAATATAAATAAATAAAGTCATTGCAGCAATATTTGATGTAAAATTAAACACATTATTACCCATTTGATATTGATGGTGTCTTGGGCGATTAGCGCTGCTACAAATATGGTTTTTATACCCCCAACCAGCACAAACTGCAAAGCTATCGAAAATGCTCCCACAGTTGGTTCATATTCAAAGTCATGTTTACCAGGCTTATGCAGTGGCTAGTTTGGCAAACTGTCTTCACAGTTTGTGTGCAAAGTACAGTCACAATTTCATGCTGTGCACTGCATTTCTAAATATCCCGCTGTTACTGTAGCAGCTTAAAAATGAATGTGTTGGACTGTGTAGCACAGAAACTGTCAAGGGTGCGTGCACAAACCACAGCTGCACCAAGAAGATGCAAAGTAAACACCTTTCAGAATGATGTCGGTAAACACACTGAATATAATATGAAAAGCATGTCGTACTTTAAACTTGGCACAATTGCCACAAATAACAAAAACAAAAAAACAGTCGGAACTGAGTTAATTATTGTTGCAACTTTTAATCGGGTACATATTGCCTTCAAGGAATAAAGTAATAGTTACACTCTATAACATGACTAATGATAAAAAATATATATATTCAGGGATCAAACATGAGAGATGTATAAAGGTTTTAAATTTTATTAAAGCAATACAGTAACTCTGCTGCAATAAATGCCTCGAGTGAAGATCAAAGTAGTGTCCTCAACACCAAAAAATGTCAAAAATCCCAACGTTTCCTTACCCTCTTGGGCTTTTTTTCTTTTTTGGGGTTAATTTAACCTTTTTTTTTTTAAAAAACTGAATTTGAACCACTATGAAGTGTATCTGTGCAGTCAAGATGCTCATTTATTTGCATGCATTGACCGCTTGTTTACCCATAAGAGATAAACCCTGTGAATGGAGCACCACACGCCCGAGCTCATCAGTATTGGTGACCGAATGTCCATTGAGATGCAGAGCACAAACCTTTGATCCTCCTCTGTGCCGAGACTGGAGGCAAACTCTCTCTCCTCCTCCTTTTCTCTCTCTCTCTGCCTGTGCTTTCTCCATCATCCACCTCTTTCTTTCTTACAGAGATCTCAGGGGATTGTTCCTTTGCTTCAGTGCTCACTCTCTGTTTTTCACTTTACCTCTGAATCTTCTGGATGTGCTTGGCATACTTTTAATTTTAAACTTTAAAACTAGAAGTGGCTGCGAATCCGGGAATTATGTGCATTTATGTGATTTCTTTGAGCAATTAAAGGAGATGGATTGACATTTTTGGAAAATACGCCTTCTGTCAGAAAGCTAGAAGACTGGTTTATCTTAAATCTGAAACCGTACCATAGCAGCCAGTTAGTCATGCTATGCACAAAGGCTGGAAATTTGGAAACCCTTTATGTAGCACTGCCTGACACTAACACTGATTTCTGAAGCTCACTAATTAAGATGTCAGATGAAATATGTTCTGCCCCCAAACTGAAGAGTTAAAATATCTGTAAAGCTAAATCTCAGTGCTCCTCCCGCCTAGTACTTGTACTACTGCTGCTGTGCTAAAACAGATGCTATCTATCTTTTAATCTAACATCATTATAGGAAGCTTTTCAGCTGTTGTGTGACTGACAGTTTTTAACCTGTCCACAGTGATAGTAAATCTCCCTTAATGGGCTTTAATGGGATCTAGAATGCATCAGCAGCACACGCTTCTGAAAAGTAAACCTGCACTGCTGTCATTCATGTCATTTATGTCCTGTGAAATAAAGAGCCCTAACATCATTAGACAGTTCGTCAATAGGCTTTCAGCTGAATGATATCTAGCTGAACACGAACGCGTGTGATCCGAAGCTCTGCATTAAGCTCAACTCGGCTCCTCGTTTTTACCATTGAACTGTGCCAGTTTGCCAGTAATGGTGCACTTCCTCCACATGCCTGACCCCCGCACACAGTTTGCAGCCTGCTTTCCATGTGTTGGTGTGTCGGGTATGTTTCTGGGCTCTCGCTGAGTCCCTCATGTTGTGTATTGTGTCCCAGGGCTGAACATATGGTTCACAAGCCCCTGGAAGAAATTAGAGGAATATCCCTCTCTCTCTCTGTCTCCCTCTCTTTTTATTCTTATCCTCTCATAATGTGACCTTAATAATCCAACTCTGTGTGACTGCATGACAGAGCAGAAAGATATGTGCTTCTTTGTGTGCCCGCTGTTGGCCGAGCTGTGCTGACTGAACATGCCCTGCTAGGTTCTTGTTAAGAGTCTACAGGAATAAAGTGATAAACTTCACAAATGGAAGCCGGAGATTAAAATCTGCTGCTCACACATCTTGCCTTTGTCTTTGTTTACACGAGCGCATTTGTTAGTGTGTGTAAGCGCTTCTGATCAGCCACTTAGCGAGATATAGTCTGTGAAAAGCTCACTGAGCCGAACAAATCATGTGAATCGTGGCACTTAAAAATGTGTCGCCACTGCTCAAGTGAACTGTGGAGACGTGCTTTCTGCGTGCTGACGAGCAGGCGTCTTCTTTGACCCCTCCTTTGTCACATTCGGGGATGATTTGTCGTGGTATTCAACTTTTGAACAGCAGTTGCTGCTGCAACTGACTGCAATCAGATATCATGTGAAAACCGTGCCATGCTTTTATATAACTTTTCTGCACAGGTTTTCCAAGTTCTCATTTGATTGCTGGTAAAATGGCAGGGCTAGCAGGGCTTTAGCAAAAGTGATGTAAGCAGTTTAATTGAAGTTGTCAGCAGGTCAGCATTACAGAGGCGTAGCAACCAGGTCATTATGTAGTTAGAGATCCAGAGTCGGGTTTAATGGGCAGAACAGCTTTGAAATTAAATTCTAAAAAATGAAATATTCTCTATAATATGCAAACTGGAGCCGCTATCCTTCGGGGTAGTCACATTTTGTGGTTGGATTGAATTCTAATCCCAACTTTGAGTCATATTTATAATGTTGGCTCATTTTTATAGATAAGATCATTTGGCATCTGTCAGTGTTCTGTTGCTGGATACATTTAATGTTGCACCAAGCATGTTACGGGAATATTTAAATGCCTGAAATCGCTGAACTCTAACAGTATAATGATGGGATAAAAACACTGTTAATCTCCTTTTTTCATACTTAAAATTAAATCTGTACAATCACTAAATCTCTTTCAGCTTGTATGAAATGTGAAGGGGAAGAACTGGAAATGATAGCCTGTCCCCTAAAAGCTAAGAGCTGCAGCTGCTACTGGCAAGCACAGGTTACTCTCTCTGCCTCTCTCTCTTTCTCGCACACACACTCCTAGACTCACACATGCACATTCACACTGAGGAGCCATTGATGGTTAATTCCCCCGTGGAAATGTGGTTATAGGTGAGTGAGAGGGTTTGGGTGTATGTGTGTGTGTGTGTGTGTATATGTGCAAGCAGCCTCAGTCAGGCCGGTCAGCGCAACTTACGTCACTGTGGTCAGCTGTGGCTCTCTTGCTTTGCTGCCATTGCTCAAATTCTCCCTTCGGCTGGCCTGAAAAGCTGAGATGAGATTAGCGCACAAGCAAACAAGTGTGTGCAGTCCTGAGCTAAAAATGAAGCTCACACAGCTTCGGGAATAGCGCGAACACAGAAAAATCTCAGTTTTGACATTGCGTCACATTTTGTTTCAGTAATATGAAACCTGAAAATACTGTACGCGGTGCGGAAACCTTGTGCAATATTAATATCGTTACATGGCAGAAGCCAAAGTTGGGCAGAGTGGTGTGTGTATTTCTGGCCTTTAGGATATAAATTCTCATCCAACCAAACATACATTATTTTAGACAGTGAGGCTGTAAATCGGGGCTCTAGCAGCACAGTAATGTAGGGCATGAAGGCATTTTATGGAAAATCTTATATTCAGTAACGATGTTTGTTCAAATGATTAACATAGTAATTTCTTTGTTTGCATACTTTATTTGTTTCTCTTACAGATCTATGTATATAAAAGACAAAGTATTTTCTCATAAATCCTAGCTTAACAGAGCACTGGCTGTGGGGCATTATCTGCAACATTGTGCAGGTTTTGATTTAAGCTTTGTCTTACACATTTGCCAGATTTGTCAATTTCCCTCAAAAAGAGAACATCCCCTGACATGTCTACAGCTCTGAACATATGTTCTTTGCTACCCTGTCAGCTCTGGAGAAAAAGCTGGCATGAGCAGTATCTGCTGTCTACTTTTCATTTGAATTCAATAGCCATTATCTAGACTGATATCTTAGTTAACATATCGGCAAACTCTTAGGCCTCGAGGCTGTTCCAAATGACAAAACTTGATCTAAAACACTAATTATAACAACGCACATTAGTCTGTTTTGAACTTCATCAACCAGCAATTCCATGATAATTTGTCTTTTGTTGCAATCTTGAAAATGTCATTAAGCGTACTTCTTGCTTTTTGTTCTTTTCAACTAATTACATGTGTAAGAAACCCTCACTGACTAAAATACTAGAAAGG